CAGGACATGAGGGAAAATATTCATGTTTATTTTGTGATGGTGATAAAACTAATCTTGGAGAACTGAGAACCTTTAATATGCTTAAGAACACGTATAAAAACTTTGCTGAAAGTGGATTTAAAAAAAGCTCTATGCAACTCTATAAGAATGTTATACATCCATGTCTCCTGGTTGAGTCTGGAGAGATGTATGTGCTTGATGTCATCCCTCCTCCAGAACTTCATTTAATGATGAAGATTATAACAGAAATTTCAAATGTCTTCTGCAAGGAACCTGATGTTGCTCTCTGGTTAAAAAAGCATGGAATTATTTGGCATGGGTATAATGGAGGTGGACTGGATGGTAGAAATGCTAACAAAATACGAAAGCTTTTGCCAGATTTGGAAAAATTTATCTTAGATAACTTTTCTTCTTATCATATAGTTGTTGAACTGTTAAAGTCTTTTTCTTCAGGTAAATTTTAAATATACTTAATTTTACAAAGCATTTATATATTAAAAGTTAATTATGATTTAAAAAGAAATATTTATTGAATCAAAAGCAATTTCTCATAAATGGCACTAAAATTTACATTTAGTAGTAAACATGTGTTTCGGAATGAAACTCCATGACGGTTATCCTGATGCCATTGCAACATATATAAGAAAGTTAAAGGTAATAGTTACATAAATGCATAAACAACTCATTCATTTAAAAATAAAGTTTTAATTTTTGTTTATATTAACCATTTTTTAAATTATTAATTTAGGAAAACCAAAAGAATGTGAAGACTACATTCAACCGCAACCTTTCTATGGGATGGAAAGGTCATATAATTGAACACCATCTTGTCATGTTTTTAAATAGAACTAAGCTGCCATAGGGAGTATTTTCAGAACAATGTTCTGAATCTGTTCATCATAATATGTTGAAAACACTGAGCAGATTCTCAACTTCAGAATTCAGAGAGAACCATGGAAAGTTTCTTAGAAAGGCAATAGTTGAATATTCAAGTTAAAGAATTTAAGTTTTTTCTTTGCTATTGATTACATAATTATACATATCTTGTATATTATATAGTTTTGAAGATTACATTAAATCAGTATATATTATGGATTATATTATACTGTTTCAGAGTATATATATATATATATATATATATATATATATATATATATATATATATATATATATATATATATATATATTTACCGATCATATTAATCGGCTGAAATGATAAGATTTGAAAGGTAGAGGATAAAATAACTTTCCAGACGATCAAGTTTTCCGTAACTTTTTATAAGCATAACTGTTTATGTAGCACATAAATAACACTTTTTCCTAGTAAGCACAGGACGTTTTTAAAACGTTTAAAAAACTTATTAAAACGAATATTAACGTTTTTTAAACGTTTTAAAAACGATCTGTGCTTCCTGGGTTGCGTTAGTCAACTTAAAGCACTTATTACTAATTTGCCCTAATGGGGCAAATTAGTAAAACTTAAATCGGAAATTTTAGCAAAATCCTAAACTTTGACAATCTATAACTTAGGATGAGAAAAAATACATGAAAAGGTATTTTTTAATACAACTACTTCTGCTTGTGTTGAAAGAAAAAAATATGTATATATCTTTTTTGCTTATACAGAATTTTAGATTTTTATTAAGTCTATATTTTAAATATATGTGTAAATGCAATAGTTTAATTCCAGTAGTAAGCAAAATCCTAACTTAAAAATAGAATTCAAGAATTTGAGATTTCACAGATCTAGAAATTTTAGTTAAAGTTAAGAATCTAAAATATACCGGAATTATTGCCGTGGCTAAGGAGTCCTTGCCCCCTTTTCTTTACCAAAAATCTGTCATTAGTGGCCTGTCTTTATTTGAGTTTTAACATAAAGTTTGATTTGCAATTTTTGCCGTTCAAACAAATTTGATTGGACAAAGTTTATTTTGGGAGATCTTAATATCATTTTTTATAAAAGAAGACGATCTTTATTTTTACTTTATTTTTTAAATGTTAAACTCTTAACTCAGGTCACTATCATTATGTCAAAATCTGGAGCACAAAAGCGCAAAGAAAAACTACAGACAGAGATAGATATGTTTCTGCAAAAAAGTGCAAATTAATCACATCATTTTTGTCAGTACAACCACAATGTCAAGGCAATATTGAGTCGAATTTACAAATTACATCAGAGATCATAAAAGCACGAGGTGGTAAAGATCTTAAGTCAAATTTACAGAGAACATCAGCAATAATACAAGCACGAGGTGGTTGAGATATTGAGTGGAATTTGCAGAGTTCATCAACAATAATACCAGCACGAGGTAGTGGAGATACTGAGTCGAACTCTCATAGCACATCAGCATTTAAATATCCACAACGTTTGCAGTTAAAATGTTTTTTTAGCAAACATCCAATTCAACCACATGAACATTTGCCATTTGATAACAAGATCTACCACAGAAAAATGGACTTGAAGGATAGGATACCTAGATATAGGTTGTCATTTAGCCAAAACTCTCAGTCTCTATATTGCTCATTTTATGTTGTATTTGAATCACCACAGTCTAACACCGTTTCATCATTTGTATCTGGCTTCAAAGATTTTAGAAGAATTAGCCAACGGTTTGCAGAACACGGATCAAGCAGCACTCACCGCAGGCATGTTCTTGCTTACATTCGTATAATAAATAATCAAGACTTTGACAGATTTTGTAGTATATCAATAAAGAAGCATAATGATGAAGTACTTATGCGGAAACAAATACTTTCTCGAGTTATTGATATCATTAAACATTTATGTAAGCAAACATTGCCATTTCGAGGTCATAGGAATGAAGGTGCTTATTCATTGGACAATGATGAAGAAAATCATGAAAATTGTTTGGCTTTGGTACAGCTCTTGGCCAAATATGACCCACTTATAGCTTCTTATCTCTTTATGTGTCAAGAGAAGTCAAACAAAATAATAGAAAAACTGAAGCGTCAAGGTAAAGCCGGCAATAAAGGTCGCAGTACTCTGGTTACGTTTTTAAGTAAGACTACTATATCAAAGCTTCTCAATATTATGAAAAATATGATGCAGGAACAGATTGCAATGGAAGTGTCCAAAGCAAAAGCACTGATGGTGCTTCAAGTTATGATGGCCAGTACAATGGACTACAACAAAAGATTACAGAAGCTGCAGACCACCATGTACATGTTTGGTGTTATGCTCATGTTCTCAACTTAGTTGTGGAGGCAACCAATTGCTGCATTCAGGCAGTTTCATTTTTTAACCTTTTGCAAAATGTTTCAACATTCATAAAAATCTCATATAAGCGAATGGCAATAGGATTAAACTTGTTGAAACACAAATTGGAATGGATAAGATAAAAAGATTGAAATTGATTGGTGAAACAACGCGGTCGGGTAAATCAAATGCTGCAACGGCGATATTTGGAACATTTGCTAAGCTATATTTAACAGTGATTGTCAATTTAACTTCATGTCTATCATGTACAAGCGATTCAGAAAATTTTGATGCAAAGACACGTCATGAAGCTAAGACATTGCTCAAGCCATTCCTGAAATTCGACACCATTTGGACTACCTTTACCTACCTGCATATTTTTGAAAAAAAGGGACCGCTTTCAGTATACCTGCAAACTCGTGGATTAAATGTGTTGGTTGCATTCAAGATGGTGGAGAAGGCCACAATTGAATTGTCATCATCAAAAAGTCAATCAAGACTTTTTGATGATGTAATTCTTGCTGGATATAGACTCATCAACAAAACCTATGACAATTTGTATCATATTTATAAAATGTAGTAAAAGCCAAATGTAAAAGATCGTTTTTTAAGTTAAATTTAATAATGACAAGATTGCGAAACTTGATTAAATTTAACTTAATGTCGAATGACCACTTAAAGTCGTATATGTTGATGTCTGTAGAAAAAGGTCTACTTGATAGCCTTGAGTATGATACGATCATTCAAAGATATGCATCTTCATCCTCTGAATTGAGTAAACTGTTTAACGAATAGCTATTGCTATACTTTACAATGTTCAAATTGCTCATCACTTGTACTTTTTTAATTCAATATAATTTTTGTTAATCTTTGATTTAATTGTTCCTCTTTAGACTTATTTTTAGAAAGTTACAAAGACCGTCTTTGCAATATATATATATATGGTCGGGAGGGCCCTTTAATTATTTTCATGGCCGGTAATATATATACAGCCAGTCCGCCGCTGATGTATCCTTAATGTTTTGTTGCATCCCTTTTTAAATTAGTACGCAGTTTTCTACCCTGTTATCTACCTTTATTATGACACGAAAAAATGACATTAAAGCAAATAAAAATGGGTTTTTTAAATTTAATGACGATATTACTATGAATTTAGTTATTATTTATAACCAATATTTGAAAAAAACTAATGCTAATATTCTAAAATTAAGTTAATGAGAAATTGGTTCAAGGTTGTACATAAAACGCTTAATCTGAATTTATTTGTAAACGCGAAACTCTAAATACTATTTTTCGATTATTATTATTTATTATACTATTTAAAATAGTATCTGATTTATTAAAAGTAACAATGCAAATTACGTTTAATAACAGAAATTTATTGCAATCTATTTTTTTTTTTTAGTTTTAAACTTTCATTGTAATAGTTAAGGGGTTATGAAATGTTTCAAGCTTAATAAATTATTTATTGTTTTCAAGCTGTCATTGCGTTTTTAATAATAATATTATTTAATCAAATATTAGCAATATTTGATTTAGCAAATGTGCATTTGAATCTTGTAGGAATTGCTTTTTTGGTTATTTAGTAATCACCTACACGGTCCTGTATTAGAATTTCTATATCATACAATTTTGCATACAAGAAAAGTGTCAACTAAGGATAAAAAATTAAATTGTTTTAACAAAAAAATTTGTGAAAAAAAATTTAAAAATTGAATTGGCTTGAATCAATAGTATTTTTTTTTATCATAATATTATTACTATTTTCAAATCATTTTATACTTAAATGCAACAACTTAGCAACTAGGTTGGTAACTTAATATTTATGTATGTGTATATATATATATATATATATATATATATATATATATATATATATATATATATATATATATATATATATATGTTTGTGTTTCTTCATTTTTTTGAAAAAGTCTTTTACTGATTGTTATAAATACAAATTATTATTTATTATGTTTGATTATGTAATATGTTTAGTGTTTGTAAATACATCAATTACTTAAATGGGCATTTATGCAACAAAGTGTACATACATAAAATGATTTTAGTAAGAAACTATAGATTTTTAGTAACAAAATTATAGATATATAACTATAAAGTTACTTTTTTTATCCACTTATATTTATTATTTTATTAAAAGAAATTTTTTGAGTTTTAGTACAAATAAGAGTTTACATTAGATTTGTAAAAGGTGTAGTTAACAAGTTTCCTATTTTTAGTTAGAAATTTTAACTAATTGATAAAGTTGAGTGAAAAGTTAACAAATGAGATTTAGATGGATGACGAAAGAAGCTGCTTTTAAGTTTTTTTATTTTAGAGGCAATTACTTTAGGCAGTGGAGCTATTTAGACATCAGAAGTTTGAAGTACCTGGTTCAAGTAAAAAAAAAAAATTATAGTTAGTAATTTTTATGATTTTTAAAATCTTTTTTTATAGCTATACCATATACCAAGTTTTTAATAAGATTATTTTAGACCATTAGTTTTTGATTGTTTATCAAAATAGTTTATCAAATTATTAAATGATTTTATAATTAAACGAAAGAACTTTTTTTATTAATTAATAAAAAAATATATTAATTTTACTTTAAACTTACTAAAAATTGTTACTATATGCAGTTATTACTTTTTTTATTGTTTTATAGAATTTTTTTAAATGTTCAAAATAAATGAAGTACGTTTATCAAATGATGAAGATTTTGAGATGTTTCGAACTCTTGCAACAAGCACAGATGAGTGGATAATTAAGTATAATAAAAATGATATAAAAGTTTACACAAAGTGGACAGATGATTCCAGAATTAAATTAATTAAAGTGTGTTTTTTTTTTATATTTACATTATTTAAAAACACTATAGTTATTTTAATGTAACGATTTTCTTAACTTTTTAATTAAATTTAATTGTTATTTATTGTTTTACAGTGGTCAAATATAGCATTCCTTCCCAGATATTGCCCCTATCCTCTTGGATGGCCCATTAGAAAAAGAAAACCATCCATTCTTGATTTTGTCAGAAAAAATGAATAATAGTTGATTTTTTAAAGATGACCATCTTTAAAGAGGCGCTGATGTTCAGCATCTATTTTGACCTCTGGTTTTACATACCATTATTTGCATTGAATAATAATGTGTTATAGTTTAAGTTTATTCCAGCGCAATGTTACCATGACAATTTAGTGTGTTTTTATTTTAGTACAAAAAAACATGATTTTAGTAAGTAAAATGCATAACACCCAAGTTTTAACTTCAAAATTAAACTAGCGTAAAAACAAAGCTTTAACAATATATAGTGTAAATATTTCTAGTGTTTTTGGAGTTGAATATTTAATTTTTACTTGGATTGTGGAGATTTAAAGCTCTTAAAAGCTAAATATTGGACCTCGATCAATTATAATGTCACTACCAGAGAAGTGAAGTCCCAAAAGGGGACTCCAGCTTTAAATATCTATTTTTTCCTGGTCTCTGGTGTCCAGGAACTCTAAATAATAGCCTGTATTAAAAGTGTAAAACTGTCAAAATTTCTCACTTTCAAACAGGTTCTCTAAATCAGGGTCGATTGAGGAGAGTGAATTAAATAAAAAGAAGAGGCTGTGAAGGTGGTCAGGGGCTATTCTAGACCATTTTTGGTATTATGAATATTTGTCTACTACAAGTAGAATATTTATTAGTTGTATATGATTGTAGGAGACCATTAAATTTTATAGATAAACGTTCTTATTTTTAGAAATGTTTGTAGAAAATTTGGAAATGTTTGTAGAAAACTGGGGTACTCTAGAAAGTGACAGTTTAATAGTATGGTTCCCTTGAGAAGGCTCGTAGAAATGTGGCTTATAAGGGTTCTTGTTCATTAGATGTTTTGATAACCTGCTTTATTCATTCCTTAATTTCTGTAGTTGAATAAGGTTGGTTTTGAGCTTTGCTGTAATTTAGCATTCATTATGAATTGGATATTGTTAAATGTTTTTAGGATATTTTCTATCAAACAATAGTGTTTCAGCTGTAGTATTTTGTTGTTCTAGATTATATGAGAACATTTAGTTGTTTTGGAAACTAATTATATCTTGCAATTTTAACTTAAAGTTAAAATTGCAAGATATAATTAGTTTTCAAAACAACTAAATAAAACTTAAAGTTTGTAAAACAAAAAATTGATTACCCTTTATTTTGCTCAAAAAAATTTTAATTTTTAAATATGAAATAATAAACACATGCATTCTTGCATGCATAAAGGTTGGGTTAAGTAACACTTTTTATATCTTGAATTAAAAAAGATTGAAATGAGCTACAAAGTTGATTTTTTTTTTATTGAATGCTTATTAAGTCTAGAACAAAAATAAATGAAGAAAAGAATTAAATTTCTTCAGTACGATAAAATTTTCTAATTTTTCTCATAATGGGAGTCAAGATTTTGCACTAGGTGAGATCCATACTCTGTGGTGTTTTTATCCCACTTCTTAAAGTCAGTACTTGACTTTGCTTGCCTAAACTTCTTACTTGGTTTGGCTTTAATAATCACCCAATATTGCTCAATTGGACAAAGTTCAGAACAATTTGCAGGATTGTGCGTTCTTGGTATGAAATCGATACTATTGGCATTGTAGAAGTTTAATGTGGATTTAAAGTAATGACAAGACGCTAGGTCAGGCCAAAAGATTGCATTACCATCAAGGGCGTTCCAAAGTGGCAATAAGAGCTTTTTAAGGCACTCTTTTTGATAGATTTCACTATTTATTGTGGAATTAGTGGCGAAACTTTGTGTTATTAATCCACATTGACATATGGCTTGCCAAACTATAATTTTTTGGGGGAATTTTTTTAGTTTTATTGTTTTAAATTTAGCCTTTACCTTTTTCCTTGAGACTCCCATATAAAAATGATGTCCTGGAATCATTTTGAAATTTAATTTCACAATGATTCCAAGTTTCATTATCCATAATTATACTTTTTTTTTTTCTTCACAGTAGTTTGTATAATTTTCCTGCATGACTTTTTGCCACTAAATTTTCTTCAGCATTCCGATCTGGGGCTTTAAACATCTTGAAGGACTTGATTTTATTTTTTTTCTTGATAGTCCAAACCATTTGTCTGCTAGTTTTGCATTTTAGTGCCAAATCTCGCTCAGAAATTTTAGGATTTGCCCTTATTTTTGCCAAAACATTCGTCTTCAGTTTTTTGTTAATGTTCAAGTTGTTGCCGCTTCCAGGCTTTCTATTTATTGTATTAAGTGTCAAATACTTATTTAAAGTTCATAATCATATCTAATCATAGTGTTTTTAGAACATCCAACAGTTTTTACAATCGATTTGAGAGGCAAAATAAGATTTTCCATTCAACCATGCAAAATTGCATCATGCACTTGTTGCTATTTTGTTGCCATTTTGAATAATAATAAAATTTTTCTAAAAAAAAATATTTTAACTGAAATACCAAAATATTACAACTGAAACACTAATACATAGATAATTGTTTTGCTGTATGATAACATTCTGTATGATTTTTTTAGCGTCCTAATTATAAGAAATAAAAAGTGTCAATTTTACTTAACCCAACCTTTACATGTATATATTGATAATTATTTTTAGGTTTCTGCTATGTTTGAGGGAGTCTCTCTAGATTGTTTGTATGATGTTATTCATGATCCAGATTATAGAAAGGTTTGGGATAAAGATATGTATGACTCATATGATGTTTGCAAACTCAATTCTAATAATGTGATTGGTTGGTATGCAGGTAATTTTTATTTTATTTAAAAATAAATACAATCTTGCTTAAAATAGTTGATTTTATGTAACCATTTTCAAATGTATGTAAATAAAGTATAAAATAACAACAAAAATGTATATGTAAATAAAGAATAAAATAATAACAAAAAATTAAAAGTATTGCCCTCAACCACTACGTCGAGGGCAATACTTTTAATTGTGGTTACAACCCTTTCTCAACTCTAGAACTCTGAAACATGAACCTTGGCAAACAAGGTTGCTGCACGGAGAAACAAGTTATTTTTATTGTGAATTACACTTGTCTACATTCTGACTGAACAGCTGAAATACTGTTTGAGCTGTTTAGGTTTAACTATTTAGGTTTAGGTTTAACTATTTAGGTTTAGGTTTAACTATTTAGGTTTAGGTTTAACTATTTAGGTTTAGGTTTAACTGTTTTGGCCAATGTATTAATGAAATCTTTTTTGTCAAAAACACTTTAGATTTCTAACACTTCAAATCTTTTGTCTCTTATAAAAAGTTTTTTGTATTTATACTTTTAATACAATGCATTCTTACTTTATTAAGTAAGAACTTAATAAAGTAAGAATGCATTGCTAAGTTTATTACTATTTGATGTTTAAATATGTGTGACAAAGTTACCTTTATTTACCAAAAACACAATCAAATAAACAAACTTAGAAATATATCTTATGTATGCACAAAATTTATTTCTAAGTTTGTTAATTTGATTAACAAACTTAGAAATATATAAAAAATGTATAAAATTATTTGTTTTACAATTTATGTAAAACAAATAATTTTATCAATTCAAGGTGGTTTGACAAAAAAAAAAAGTCATTGTTAGCTATTTAAAATGTTATATGTATATGTATATTGTAAAATATACCCAAAGCTAGCAAAAATTAAAGTTGTTTTATTATCAGATTTTACATAAAATCTTTTTCTGGCATCTAACAAAATTAAGTTTGAACTATTCTAACCAGCGTATTACTAGCCAGATATATGATTTTAAGGGTCAGTTTACATGATTTTAGTGTGCTACTCATTAAAACATGTTTTTTAAGGAATCCATTTCTGAGATTAAAAAAGTTTAGGCCACCCTGACTAATGTATTACTAGCCAGCTACATTGTTAAATTGTTCAAGTTTTGCATATTAAGTTAAAGTTTTTAAATATATATTTCCAACATAAAATTAGAACATTGACTTCATGTTATAAGATATGTGATTTTTTGGGCAAGGCTCTTTAATGTTATACATGTTATCAAATTCAATATTTTATTGGTTTCATGAACCTTTGTTTCTAATTAAAAAAGTCAAGTTAGCAGGTGTTTTACTTCCTCAGTAAAAATCATCTGTTTGCTGTTTCTCCTCAAGAAACTAATCAAAGGATTAGAGCCAGGTAAGTCTTCTAATAAAATCTAAGTTCTGTTACTTTCAGTATATTTTCTAGTGAAAAATTACCATTTGACACTATTCAAACCTTTTAAAATGAGTTTCCATAATGAAGGTCCAAGTTTTCAAATAAATCTTGTAGATGATGGCAAAGCTGACAACAATATGGGCAGCATTGATCAAGCCTTTTCAACAGATAGTTAGTAAGTGTTACAGCCTGTTTAATTCACTCACTATGGAAGAAGAGTACTTTCTAACTGAAATATTACCATTTTGTATGAGCTCTTGTTAAACTAGGGTAGATGTGATGATTTTGATTTGTGTCATTAGTTAGCTTTGCTAAATATTGGCAGAAGTCATAGGTTGTATATTTGTTATTGTTATGTTATATATAATGTTCATTATTTATTGACAAGAGTCACAAGTTGTTTTTATTAAAATAAGCATTAAACAACAAAAGCAAGTGGCTATAGCTCACTTGAGCATGATAGTATTTGTGGAAAAGAGAAACAGCTGCAATCTTATGACTATGGGATCATGCTTAGCAGCTATAGCAGCTCCAACAGCATCAACAATGCATAACCCAGCATAATAATGATAACAGTATTTCATACAAATAGGAATAAGAGATTTATAGAAGTAAAAAATTAAATCTGGAGAGATATCAAGCATGATGAATAGAGGCAGCTTTGTATATATGAATTGCATATATTAGGTTTGGCCAGGAAGGCGTGCTATTTCAAGTCTTTATATAACCATGCAAGTATTATTTTAAGCAAATTAAGTTTTTAGCAAATGTGGTGAAAAAACGTTGAAAATAAATAACTTCAACATACTTATCTTTTCTAACGTTTTTATATAAGCAAAGCACTTTTAGCTATGATTTTAATTAAAGTATCATTGAAAGTTGTCTAAATTTTTATTTATATTATTCAATTATATAAGATTTTTTTATAAGTAAAATAAAAAAAGTAAAAATTATTTAAAAAAAAAAAAAATTATAAGTGGTGACTTATAAAATTTATTTAAACAGCGAAAAGTCTCTTTAATAACTTTATATAAGAATCATTAAAGTTAATTCACTCGAAAAGTAGAAAGATTGAGAAGATG